CCCAACCCCCCTCCCCCAACCGCCCGTCGGATCACCTCTTTCGCAGCCACACATCAACCCCACATACCCAGCACCAGCCCGTCGGATCACCTAACTTCCTACTCACCGTCTTGCTCCTGCCCGTTAGCCGATCCTCTGGACCGCGCTAACTCCAAAGTTGATAAGAGAGCGAGTTAATCGCGTTTGCAAAATTTATAGCATGAGCGTCCGCGCAAGATAACCGGGATTGTGCCTGAGTGGGAGGGAAGACTCGGAAGAAGGAAGGAAGTGCCTATGACTGCATGAGTGGGCCGCGACGTAGGGGACGTAGCCACTCTCCACGCATCGATCCAGTCATGCATCGTTCATGCCAATAAGGTCAAGGAAAATATGTGTGCGCAGGGGCGGGACGAAGATATCAAGAAGGAGAAGATTACAGTTACATTTGCGCTTTGCCAAGAAGATAATTACAATTACGCGCGAGATTAAGTCGCGGAGAAGCCAGAGCACAAACCCTGGCGCGGCAGAGCGCGCACAAGCAAGAAGCACCGTGCAGTTGCAGGCAAAATGACGCTGCACCAAAATTCCTAGCCTAATTTAAGTCCTAATTGCAAAAAGAAATTCGAGAAAAGAAATTTTGAGAACCCACGATGTCGGTTGAAAATTCAAAAAGATTCCCCCGCGCGACGATCGTGCCAAAATTCCCCAACCTCACAGCAGAACAAGAAAGAAGCTATGGCAACAATTATTTTCCGTGCTCGCTAAGGCGCAATCAACTACCAATCGTCGTGGGACCATCCTTTTTCCAAAATACGAGGGCATTCGTGTAATTGGGCGGAACCTTTCAATCAACCCCCGAAGTGTCATCGCGCAGAAAGTCATTCGCTTACGGAGAACAATTCATCACAATAGCAGTTCCTTAGTACGGGATGTCGGGAGTGTCAAGAGATACTGCACTTTATCGTGGGGCCGGAACGGGCTCCAGGGACGTACAAGGGAACAGAGGATTGTCAGCTCTCACGGATTCCCATACAACACAGAGTTAATAGATTCTCTAGGGTCAATAGATACAGTCCATAATTAATGACTTAGGGTTGACTATCCTCCTAGTACGTAGCGTAGGGTTGAGGAACTTGAGGCTGGCATAGCACTTCCTTCGTACGGATGTCGGGGGTGCCCGGAGATACTGCACCTTGCCGGGGGGCCGGAACGGGCTCCAGGGACACATGAGGGAACGAACGATTCCTAGCTCTCTATCATCACCACACAACTGCGCTAGATGGGAGTCACTGTGCCCCCTCATGAAGACCTGTAGTAGCACGTTCATACCTAGCTCCCGAAGTCCCAATGCAATCGGGTTTGCGCGACGTCTGCTTCAACTGGGGTTGAGCAGGGGGTAGGGGTCTCTGCCTAGCCCGGGTGCCTGCAACCGCTGTTTGGTCAGGTCACCCTGCCAAGATGGTGATGGGTGATGGTCCTGGGCGGTTAACACTAGGGTAGGACAGAGGGGGTGGGGGTGCACCATGGCAAAAAAGATGAGAGGAAGGGCGGGTGGGGTCTTCAGAGGGGTTCATCTAGACAACCGAGTGGCCGAGTACTGTGGGTGACTGCCATTGGTTTCATATCTCACCTCTACAACAATTGGGCTGAAAATAATAATAATAATAATAATAATAATAATAATAAATTAAAAAATTATCTCTCTCTGCCTTCGGTTTACCGAGCAGTTCTGTTTGTGACGATATATGCTACGACTTCGCTAGCTTCCTGCTACGGTTTTTTCCGGTCAGGTCGAGCGGCAGTGGTCGGGGCCGTTAC